CACAACCTTCACAGTGAAGATGATTTATTTATATGCAGGTTGATGGACCTGCTGTTTATTTCAGACGCATCAGAGCTTTGACTAAAGGTGCGCTGTGTTTGTTCAGGACGTGTGAACTGATATGAAAGAAAAATTGATGGTGATGTTTCCATCTGTCTGTGACTTTGGATCAGTTCAGCCTTTAACACACACACACACACACACACACACTTCAATCTGTCTGTAATGTTGTCCAGGGCAAACAGTGCCATTACAGAAGAAGCCCAGCATCATTTGATTATTTATTTTCAGTATGTGCATCTTTTTTTGATTTGGCCCTCGTGTTCTGTTTAGATTCACTTTCTGTCTTGATTTATGTCTGAAAATGGGCAAAATGAAATATTTTAAAAACCAACTAGTCAGCTGCCTGAACAACTAGTCAACTAATCGGTTTTGAGGAAGCTCTGTATGATAATGCTGGTTTCTGGTTCACCTGACCATAATCAGACGCGATTCTTAGAAAATCATTATGGTCATTTCAAAATAACCTGTTATTTATCCTTATAGATTTGATTGAAATAATGAATTTAAGTAATTTTCCTCTGAAAATACAAGATAACATGATAGCAGGAGAGCATTTCTACAGATTATACACCAGTTAGAGAATCGTAGCATGCAAATGTTCATTGTATTTATTCTTATTTAATATCTAATTTCTTCTTTTTTTATATCTTATTTATATTTTTTCTTATTTTATATATTTTTATTAAATGTTTTATTATTCATATTTATTTTTGTTTTACATCTTATTTTTATTTTACATCTACATTATATTTAACATTTTATTTGTATTCTTATTTTATCTCTTATTCTTTTTTGCATTATATTTATATTTAGTCTTGTTTTACATGTTATTGATATTTATTCTTATTTTATATTTTATTAAATTCTATTTACATTTATTCTTGTTTGTAATCTTAGTTATATTTATTTTTATTTCATATCTTATTTTACACTTTATTTATTTTTATTCCTGTTTGCAATCTTATTTATATTTATTCTTATTGTTAGTCTTTTTTATTGTTTTACATTTTATTTATTCTTGCTTCAACTTCAATTATTATTATTTTTTACATTTTATTTACATGTATTATTATTTTAGATATTCTTTTTACATTTAATTTTATTCTTGTTTTACATCTTATTTATATTTATTCTTACATCTCATATTATCTATATTTATTCTTATGTTATGTTTGAGATTAACAACAGGAACAATGTTTGAAAAGTAATCAGGTTTCATTTATAATCAATTCTCATAAGATCAGGAACGTTTTGAAGCATCAAACTGATACTTCAGTGAAAATGATCTGAGTTTCTGAGGTATTAAAAGTGTGCGGTGGTTTTCCTCAGGTGATCAAATGTAGCAGGGAATACACACAAACCCAGAGCTTTGAAGTGTGTGTGTGTGTGTGTGTGTGTGTGTGTGTGAGAGAGTGTGTGTGTGTGTGTGTGACTTTTATGTGATTGGTCTTTTATTTTCATGTAAATTATGGTTATGATTGTACTGTGACTTTCTACTTGTATTAAAGTTTTGTTAAATTCTAAATTCTCTCTCTCTCTCTCTTTCTTTCTTCTCTCTCTCTCTCTCTCTTTCTTTCTTCTCTCTCTCTCTCTCTCTCTCTCTCTCTCTGGGGCGGGACTCTCCTGCATTAATAAACACAAAAGTTGGCATTAGTAGAGTGAAGGCTGCCGGAGACTCCGAGCCGAGCGAGGTGACTTTCCCAATTAAAGGCGAGCGATGGAGACGGAGCTCCTCTCCATAAATACAGAAACACACTAAGCAGGTGTCAGAGTGCTCTTTTACTCCCGGCAGCCCGCAGAGAGACGGATGGTGTTTTTCTCTGGAGAAGTGGGGTAGAAACACACTCACACACACTGCAGAATACAGTACATGGAAAATAATACTAGGACTATTTCTGTAGTATGCAGTGTGCACATTTTCTGTATGCATGAAATAAATACCAAAATATGCCATTTGCAACAGAGCACACAGTGTGAGATACTGTATCCCACAATGCAGTGCACTTCATGTGACCTTCCAGTGTAACAAATTAACTGTAAGCCATATCAGCTACAGTTTAACATCAGTTTCTTGACTCATTGTTTGAGCAGACTGCCAAAGTTAATGCAGTTTTACACTAAATTAAAAATGACAAATATTTTTTGTTTGCATTTTTTATTTCAAAGGTGATAATTGGTGTGACCTTCCATTGCCATTGTGACAAATGAACAGCCATTTCAGCTACAATTTAAATGTTTATTGACTCGATTGTTTGAGCAGACTTTTTTAAATGCAGTTTTACACTAAATTAAAAATACTCATTGAAATTTTTTTTATGTGACCTTCATTTACATTTTAAGAAATTAACTGTAGGCAATATCAGCTACAGTTTTTAACATCAGTTTCTTGACTTGTTGTTTGATCAGACTGCCAAAAGTGAATGCATGTTTACACTAAATTATAAATGGAAAATTATTTTTGTTTGCTATTTTTTTGTATGTGACTTCTGAACAGCGAGACAAATGAACAGCGATATCACCTTTAATCACTCAATTTTTTGAGCAGACTGCATTTTTTTATGCATTTTTACACTAAATTAAAAATGCAAAAAAGTTAATAATGTTTAACATCAGTTTCTTGACTCATTGTGCCAAAAGTTAATTAATTTTTACACTAAATTAAAATTGGAAATATATATATTTTTTAATTTCCTTTTTTTTTGCATTTGTCATTTTTATTTCAAAGGTGATAATTAATAAAATAATATAATTAGATTAGATAATTAAAACAATTTTTTAAAATCTTTTACTAGAATTTTAGCAGATGCTTTTTAGCTAAATAATTTAAAGTTTGCCAATTTTTGCATTTAGTGTTTTTATTTCAAAGGTGATAATTGGACTCTCACTGAATTAAAGATGCACATATGAGATCATGTGAGTGTTGCATACTTCTCTTTTACATAGATATACTACATTTGTCATTGCATACTGCATACGGTTTCACATGCTGCTTTTAAAAAAGTTGCAGGTTTTTCAATCATAACTTGAAATGCATGAGTCTGTTTTATTAGTCTTCTGAGTTTTCTGAGGAGAGGACTGCGAGTGTTTAATTTGACTGGCAGAATGCAGCTGTAGTCTGCTGGGCTTTGAACACTTCTGAGTATGAAACAGGATTACAACACGGTCCACGGCACTGAGATTATGTGTGTGAGGATCCTTTGTGGATTCATTTGAGCTTGACTGTAATTAGGATCTGTGAAATGCATTAGTTATGTTCACAATGGAGTTCAGACTAACTGCATGAGAAACTATATCCCAGAATGCAATGCACTCGACTTGACCTTCCATTTCTCTTAAAGGAATAGTGCAACCAAAAATGAAAATCTGCTGAAAATGTGCTCACCCTCGGGGCATCCAAGATCAGGAAGAGTGTGTTTCTTCATCAGATTTGGAGAAATGCAGCATTGCATCAGTGTCTCAGCAATGGATGCTCTGCAGTGAATGGGTGCCGTCAGAATGAGAGTCCAAACAGCTGATAAAAACATCACAATAATCCACAAGTAATCCACAGCACTCCAGTCCATCAGTTAACATCTGGAGAAGACAAAAGCTGAAACAAATCCATCATTAAAAGTAAGAGTCCATAATAACACTTCCTCCAGTGAAAAAGTGGTATGGTCTGAATCAGGAGAGAAACAGATCAAGCACCGTTTACAAGCCAAAACAGCTCTAAACAAATATGTGAGAGACAACAGGAGATGGACTTTACTATGGATTATGGACTCGGATATTAGGTAAAAACGTCTTGATGGATTTGTTTCAGCTTTTGTCTTCTCCAGATGTTAACTGATGGACTGGAGTGCTGTGGATTACTTGTGGATTATTGTGATGTTTTTATCAGCTGTTTGGACTCTCATTCTGACGGCACCCATTCACTGCAGAGCATCCATTGCTGAGCAAGTGATGCAATGCTACATTTCTTCTTTTTTAGGTGAACTATTCATTTAAGTAGTATACAGTTTATCCTGTGCAGTGAACTGTCACTCACTGATGACTTGCAGCTGGTGAGGATCTGACTTCCTCCCACGTGATTGGCCGGATGATCATCATGTGATATTGTGTTAACGAGGCTTGGGAAACAGGAGCCTGTTCTTCTCTCCTAATTAGAGGCATTGTGCTGTTCATGCAGATGCTAATCCAATCAAATTCGTGAATGAGGATGTGCTTTTTAAAAATAAACAATGTAACCATAAATAGCATTAAATAAATAACTGCACCTGGTAAAATCATGTGTTTGTAGATGATATATTTTGATTGCTGTTCATAATGAGCCTGAGTTCAGATAACACCCACAGACCTCTAAGGACGTAACCCAGTTTAAGATGTTTAATGTGTTTAGCTCATGAGTGTATCATTTGACGTGGTGATTCTGTTTGACCTAATCGCACCATCAAAACAGGATGTGACTTTTCTTTTTACCCAGCTGGCATTTCTGCATTTATTCAATGTCTTTTTTTTTTTTTTTTTGCAAATTGACTGTATTCTGTTGACATTTTTACAACACTGCTATTTAATAGCCTTACCTTATAGGCTGTTTATTCCGTATTAATCATATTCTTAACAGTCTTAACTTAATGTTTGTGAAATATATAAAAATATATAAGAATTTGCTTGGTTTTTGGCTTTTAACAAATTATATATATATGGTAAATGGGTCGTGGCTTGATGACCATGGGAAAACGTGGGTCCCAAGGCCAAACCAGTTGAGAACCACTGATCTAAACTATGATTTAAACTAATAATATTTGCTGAATTTATTGCTGTCCAAAAACTACAAAAAAAAATATTATCGTTCTCAATAATTGAGTTGAGTGTATTTTTTACCCTGTTGGCGGTGTTTGGTGTGTTTTATACAGTTATTTGACTGATGTGTGTGTGTGTGTGTGTTTTCTCCTCAGTGTGTGTGCGTGCTCTAGAAGTGACGGTGAGTCAGAGCAGCGTTCAGGTGGCCAGAGGTCAGGCGGCTGTCCTGCCCTGTACATTCACCACCAGCGCCGCCCTCAATAATCTCTACATCATATGGATGGTCACGCCGCTGGCCAACGCCAACCAGCCAGAGCAGGTGATAAACCAAACCACACACAGATATACTGACCTTAACCACACTCACATGCATTTAACCTCCATATTGTGCTGTATTTTGGAGTTCAGCTGGAAACAATTTAGGAAAGTGCTTGATTATATCCATAAGGATTAACCCTACCAATGCATTTTACAGTCTGCATGCAACATTTTTGATGTGGTGGTCTGTAAGCTTCATAACTTAATATGTTTTCAGCTAAAACCATATTGCATCTGATTAATAACTTCTTAGCAACAAGTGAATGTGCAAAGATTTAAATGTTTTACAGTGTTATCCTGTTTTTACTACATTAACCTCCATTTTTCTTATTAAAAATTTGGGAAATTCTTTCAAAATTGGTGTGATGCAAGAAAAACATATTTTGAATATTTGTCAGAAATTGTGTTTGAATATATTATTATATGAAATTTATATGAAGATATAAAATGAGAATTACCATTGACTATTATTTATTTAAATTCCTTTATGCTTATTACTCATTACTCATGTCAGTTTATGAAGCCTACATATTCATTTTCTAACAAAACAACATTGTTTTCAACATCTGAAAGGTTTTCAAACAAAATATATTAATTTTACTTGCATAAACGTGGAATTTCAGATGAAAAAGATAAATTTTTCATGCTGCAGTGGTTCATCAATATGTGGCGGGGGAGTGAAATTCAGTCCCAAAAGTGTGTGATTTATGGGAAATAGGCTAAATATAATTTACAAAAGTATTCTTGAGATTAATCTAGCTCCATAGATGTACAGAAAGTCTAAATAACATCATGCATAAAGCCTCAGTTGATTCCCAGGCCAAAATTGACCCAGAATGCAAAAGGTGTTACTATTTTTTTTAAATGGTTATATATCTCTTAAAACGTCATTTTAAAAAATCAGGAAAAAAATTAATGATGTGTATTTTGATTGTCTTTACACATTTTTGATGTATTTTTGATTTACTAAAAAGCGTTTTTTTATTTATTTTTTTCATTTTTGGGTCAGATCTCACCTGAATGCATTGGGAGGGTTAATTGGAAAATAAAAAGTGAGCAATGATATTATTAGGAATCTTTCTTGTTAACACATTCATTTGCTTGAATGCGAGTTCAAGTACACACACCTTCATTGATTTGAATGGGAATGATGTAATTTTGTTGCTTGCAGTGTTGATTGAGTGTTAACACAATCTTTTTCACATTTCATAGTTCCCACTTTTAGTACATTAGTTTTTTTTCCCTCTCAAGTCTCTCTTTCAAGACAGCATGCAACTGTAGACTTCCTGTTGAGATATTGCACCTTCCCTGTGTTCATTAACGGACTGAGAAAGCTGAAGAGAAGGGCAGAAATCATGAATGTGTAGATCAGGCGCTGGGATGGAGCCAGTCATTCATTTACTTAAAAAATGACCGTCATCTGACTTTGTGCATGGATGCAGTTCAGCGCCCCGTAAACACGTACCAGAATGACCACAAACATTCCCATGTTTACTGCTGGAGTATATATACTGAAATGGCAAATAAACAAGTAAGATCAAGAGAAACTGCAAACCCGGGTCATGGCACCAGAAAAAGGCCGTAATTATTTTCGCAGGCTGTTCTAATGATTGTTTGTTTATGACTACTACATTAGAATATAATTAAGCAGCATGTTCATTAGTACCAGACTAATGAGACTTAACTCGTTGAGAACAGTCGATTACATGCAAGTGAAACTGCACAGTGTTGTTTGTAGCTTTTTCTTTATTTTTCTGAAAGCTAATTAGAGAACAGCTCTGCAAGTGGTTTCGTACATCACGTGTTTGCTATTGTAGTTATTCCGAGCTAGAGCTGATTTTACACACGAAAGGTCAAGAATTCACACCTGAATAATGCAGCACGACTAAACTAGTGGGTATAATCACACAAGGCCTAAAATTAACACTCGTCAAGCACCAAATGCGAGTAAAAATGAGTGCTGATGAGTATATGAAAGAGTGTTGCTCGCCAGTTGGCCAGTAACTTTTTTATTAATTCTAACAATGCCTGAGAATGCATTATTATTATTATTGTTGATGTTGTTGTTTATTTTTTATTGATTTACTTTAAATAACAGTGCAATTACAATACTTTGAATGTTAGTATTCTAAATAACTATGGTACTGTTGTTATATAAAATAATAATACTACTAGTAATAAAAATAATAATATTATTAACATTTTATAATTATGAAATAAATTATTATTTTTGTATAAATTAAAATTATACAATTTTTTTTTGTTATTAATAATAATAATATATAATTATATAATAATAATATTATTAGTAAATACTACCTTATTTTATATTTCCTTATTTTTTATAATTTGATTAACTACTACTGATCACTACTACTATTATTAATAATACTACTTCTACAAATATATTTATTATTAATAACTAATAATATAATTTAAAAAAAAATTATTATTATTAGTTATTTAAATTATAAAAATAACAATAAGAAATATCACTATAAGTATTTAATATTAATAATTTATTCCATGTAATAAATAAATAAATAAATAAACAAACAAACATTTAATAACAATTGCAATTAGATGCATTTCCCTAATTTGTTCTGCCTGTTATTTTAATAAAATAATACACATACAGTTTCATGGCTGGTGAAAATGATTTATGGCCGGCGGTAAATGTTCTCAAGTCACTGGCCATTGGCAGGTGTTTGTCTAAATGTTTTTTAAATGTAACTACTTGTTTCAGAACGTTCAGTAACAGTAACAGTAACATTCCCATAATGGAAATGGGAAATGATACAATGGAATGTTCCCTTGACATTTGCATAACCAAGAAAAAACGTTTTTAAAAAACAGGATGTTTTCACTTTTCAGAGAACATCAAAAATAATGTTTTCATAAATGTGTACATTAGCAAAACATTTCTAGAACAGATTTATGTTAGCTGGGAAAGTAACAAACACTTGCGTTGGTTTGAGATGCATTGAGGTTCACGTGCTGCAAACTCATCTTGATGTGTTTTCTTTACCTGTACTGTCCACACACACATCTGTGCACTGCCCTCTGGGTAACGCGCTCATGTTAAAGCTCGGCCTCGGACATGAGCGGCGGGAGCTTTAGTAGAGCTCCAAACACAGAGCGCAGGTTTATCGCCTCAACCTTTGATTCCATCTGATTTATTTTCATGAATGACTGCAGGCCAAACCCCATTCACCTGCTGCCCACACACACACACACACTTACCTGTGTGTAACTCTGTGAAGATAACCCAAACACACACGCACATATACTTACCTGTCTGTATCTCTGTATGTGACCTAAACGCGCTCACTCACACACACACCTGCCTCCAACTGTTTCAACATAACATGCACAACAAACGAATCTTCTGCACTAATTAACCCAGAGCTGCACAGGCCAGGACACAACAGCTGCTCGTTACACAAGCACAAAACACACACACACACACACCATAATTATACAGCTACACATGCACACGCTATCTGACAAATTCAAAAGACATTATTGTATTTTTAATCCACTGATGTTTAGTATTATTTATATACTATAGTAATTTAGTATTTATTACTATTTTGAATTTATTTTATTTTTCGTCCACTTCATCAGTTTGTTTTAGTAATTTTGTAATGTGAATTGTTTTTATTTTATTCAGATTTTCAGATTTGATTTGATTTCTAGCTCACTTCATCAGTTTAAGTTTTAGTCTTTTTTCTGATTTTTTCTTCAGCTTTTTAGATGTTATTTTATTTCAAGTCCACTTCATCTGTTTGATTTTTAGTAATATTATGTAATTTATTTTTATTTGATTCAATTTTTTAGATGTTATTTTAAGTCCATCCGTTTACACTATTATCTAATCAGCATAATTAGATGCTAAACAGTGTTATTTTATTATTATGTATTTACCATTATAGTATTCATTCATATTTTATATTAACTTTTATTGTTATAATTTTTAGTTTTAATAAAGCTGAAGTTTTAGTAACTTTGTCGTGCTTAATGGAAATATTTTAATAGAAATATTTGAAAAAATATATTTGTTAAAAAACAAAACAAACATTTTTAGTTTTAAACTTTTTAAAACTATTTTTAATTAGTTTTTTTTAATAATGATATTATCGTTAATTTATTTTTATTGCCGTTTTAGTAATTTTAGTACTTAAACGTATTTCAGTTAGTTTCCAAGGCAATATTTCTAATGTTTTTGATGTTCAGGTTCTTCAAGTTTAAGTTTTGAATTTTCTAATATATTTATATTTTAGCGTTATTTCAGTTACTGAAAATGTTTTTTATGACTAATGCATACTAATAACTACTGCATTTGCAGTATATGTAACACTGTAGTACTGTATCCCACAATGCACTGCACTCAACATGACCCTCCGTTCCAGTGTGAAGAATGAAAAGGTGCTTTAATGGTTTACTTTCAACTCATCTTGTAATCTGGCTTCCAAAAAGGAAGACATTTTTTGCAAAATTGGATTAAAAATGCAAATTAATATGCCCATAATCAATGTCATGTGACAAAAATATGAATGCTTTGAATTTGTTTAATAGCAGCTGCAGTGCATCTGCATGTCGGCTGTATCCCAGCATGCTCAGGTGAGGGATTCACAGCGGCGTATGTTGAGCTTATGATAAAGACACATGCTATCGGCCCGTCTGACCTGCTTCTGATCAGATCACGAACTCCTCACGTCCGTCTGTGTTTGCTGTAATCTTCTGCGTTCAGCGGCAGATTAAGACGTACAGCAGATGTACGTGTGTGTACAGGTTCAACGCCAAATCCTTTCTGCTTTGTTCCTTTGCAAGTTCAGCTAGTGCCTGCTTTTATTCCTAGTAAAACTATTTTGCATGTTTTATTAATAAGAATATTTTATTCTGTCATATTTATGCATGTTTCTCCACAAGCGTGTCATGAAGTGACTGAATCAGTGAAGAGACTGAATGGAGGGCGGAGCCGAGGAGATGTCAGGGGGAGGGGCTTAATGATTGACAGCTCGTGATGTTTCCAGAGCCGAGTCAGTTCTTAGCACTGATGACCATCTGCACACATGATGATCCTTTCATCTCACTGCAAACCAATGTGTGGAAATCTGCTTAGTTTTGGCTCTTTAGCGTTATTTTACTATCATTGAGATACTAATAAAGTTTTTTTTTTTTTTTTTCTGTTTTTATTTTAATTTTGATAACACTTTATTTTAAGGTGTTCTTGTTATGTGTTACATGTACTTAATATTATAATAACAATAAATTATGCATAATTACATGCAAGTAACCCTAAGCCGAACCCTAACCATATAGTAAGTATGATTAATTAATATTACTCAGTACTTAAATGTATAATTACACTGTAACAAGGACAACTTAAAATAGTGTAACCTTAATTTTAGTTAGTTTGAGTAATTTTGCTGTTTTATGTTTTATGCGTTTTTTTAACGTCTTTATAGTTTTTATTAATTTTGATTTCAGTTTTGCAAAATAAATGTAAATAAATGTTAGATTTTTTATTTTTTTATTTTTATTGTATTATTTATCTCATTTATTGTTTATTTTATTTCAAGTAGCATTTTTTTGTTTTGTTCTAGTTTTAGTAAGACATTTAGTTTTTTGCATTTCTGACATTTTTTCTCAGAATTGCAAGATATAAACTCAGAATTTCAAATCAAACTCAGAATTCTGAGGGAAAATGTCATAATTGTGAGATATACATTCTGGATTGCAAGAAAAAAAATCTGAATTCTGAGTTTACATCTCAGAATTACAAGTAAAAAATTGTGAAATAAAAATCGCTATTACCATTTTCTTTTTTTTTAAATCTGTGGTGGAAATGGGCTTCCATACTAATAAAAGCTTATCCATAATTTAAGAAATGTACTTATTTAAATTAAAGTTTAAACTAAAGATTTAAGCTTGAAAAGTTTCCAATGAATTTGCGTTGTTAATGTTTTCACTTTCAAAATCGAACTACTTGAGCTGACAGTGATGATGTCAATGTCATATTTGCATACTGACTTGTGATTGGTTACTGTCGTCTTTGCTCAGTCGGGGCTTAAAAGATAATTAATATTCAGAAAATATTAGCGAGCTGCTGTGAGCACTAGTGATGCATGGCTTAGCAAACAGCACTAATAAGAGCTCATCCATAATGTGCACTATTGAGACGTTATGATGAAGAATTAGGTGGCTGATAACATGCATTAGAGCAACACTCATTTTTCTTTTTCTGACATATATCATACATACATCACTCCCATCTTTTCCTATTACACAGCTCATATCACACACACACACACGCTGGCTGTGGGGCTCGTCTTGATTTATCTCAGCTGAAGTGCTGCCTGTTCATTTGTGTGTAAAAGCTCCATGTCCATGACAGCATCATTTACTGAGGCTCAAAACACAGTGTGTGTGTGTGTGTGTGTGTGTGTGTGTGTGATCATTCAGCCTCTCGAAGGCCACTGAAACCCTCCCATGATCACACACACACACTGAAGCAGGTTTCTTTTAATGTGGCAGATCACAGAAGCTTCTAACAAAGATCAAAGTCCTTTAAAATGCTTTATACTCTGTGTGTGTGTGTGTGTGTGTGTGTGTGTATTGAATATTCCATCAGCTCTTCTTCTACACGAGTGTCTGATGGACATGCTGACACACTGACCAAAGCTTTGCTCTAAATGCTGAATAATTAATCAATTTCAATAATTGATCATTTGGAAAATAAAATGCATCCTTGTTAACCTGTTAACACTCACTTTTTAACATCACACATCAAAAGTGACTCTGTTTACTTTTTAAATTCATGTTCCTGGTCTTTTTGGGACTGATTCATCATTGCACATTATTCTAAAGAAAATAAATAAAGAAATTTGTCTTACAAATATAACACAACTTGCTTTGCCCAGGTTTATTACTGTTAACTAAAATTACAATCAAACTTCATTACTTGAATTAAAATAAATATTAACTGAAATAAAATAAAATATATAAAAACTCAAACTTTATTTTAGCTACTTGCCAAAGCAACATTTCTTATTTTTATTTAGTTTAAATTGAAGTACTAAAATAACTAAAACCAGATAAAAATGACAAATACACTACAAAACAAAATAATTAAATAAACTAAAACTTTATTAACTAAAATTAGAATGAACACTGAAAATATAAAAATAAAATCTATAAAGCTATAAGTATATCAATTATACTAAAATAACTCATAAATGTGGCTTTTCATGGTATAATTAACACTTGTCATTAATTGTGTGTTTAATTTAAATAGCTCTCCACATTTTTCTGCTCCAATTTTCCACATTTAATTCAGCTGAATATATAGACTTTATTAAAACTTTGTTTTATAGTTTAACCCTTGGGTCTGCATCTATTTAAGAAATTTACATATTTAAATTAACATTCATATTAAAGATTAAAGTTTGATTTCATTTGATTTGCATTAAAATATTCAGCTTTCAAAATCAGCTACTTCCTCTAACAGCGATGATGTCATTGCAATATTTGCATACTGATTTGTGATTGGTCGCTGTCACCTTTGGCTGCTCATTTTTGGCATAAAAGAAAAATGGATTATTTTGACCCATACAATGTATTGTTGGCTATTGCTACAAATATACCTGTGCTACTTATGACTGCTTTTGTGCTGCAGGGTCACAAATGCATTTGCTTGATTTAATAGTCATATTTGCAGTCCGCAGCGCACACAGCGTTATGCATGATCTGTTTGAAGCATAAATGAACTGTGATTATGTTTGTGTTTGTGTTGTTGGCAGGTGATCATCTATCAGGGCGGGCAGGTCTTCAGTTTAGCCAATCACATGAACGGGCGCGTGGGCTTCGTCTCCACCATGCCCAGCACAAGTGCCTCGATCTTCATCAATAACACGCAGCTGTCGGACACGGGGACGTACCAGTGCCTGGTCAACAACCTGCCCGACCGCGGGGGGCGCAATATCGGCGTCATCGGCCTCACTGTGCTGGGTGAGCAGTCACTCACACATATGTGACCCTGGACCACAAAACCAGTCATAAGGGTCAATTTTTCTAAATTGAGATTTATACATCATCTGAAAGCTGAATAAATAAGCTATTTGTTAGGATCGGACAATATCTGGCTGAGATACAACTATTTGAAAATCTGGAATCTGAGGGTGCAAAAAAATCTAAATATTCAGAAAATCATCTTTAAAGTTGTCCAAATGAAGTTCTTAGCAATGCATATTACTAATCAAAAA